TTTTTTTTAAACTTTGTACTGTTACTGCAGTATTCTTTTGAAAACCACCTAATAATTGTAGGTGATGATTAAGTAGGCCATGTGTAGCAGAGTATCCATATGGCTTATTCTGGCTTACATAATCTAGTTCATAGTTTGGCCATTATCCCACAAACTCTGGGATCCTATTAGTTTCATAGTCCTGGGGGACCAATCAGAGGCTGTAATGAATACTGTGATCCTCCTTCTAATCCCTGAGTCCAAGGGACTGAATGATCTTCAGGGAGGGTCACCATCTTAGGTCTCCTTATAGACAAGATGGGAGTCTTCAGGCAGATACCAGTTTTTTGTTTGTGTCTCTGGCATTTTCTTCACCAATATAAAATGAAAAATATGCTATGGTGAAATTTTTGCTTTTGATTTTATAGTTATGGAGAGGTTTTAAGTAAACAAATACACTTAATAATTTCAGGAAGTTAGGTGGCTTAAAGATGAACCAGTTTTGAATGGGGTAACAACAGAAACAGAATTTCCATTTGTGGTCTTTAACTTGTCTGTCCCGAGCACAGCCTGGCCTTTTGGGGTACTCCCAGGTATGATCACATGTGGAGACTTTCTGGCTGGAGTCTTGGTCAGTGAACGCTTATGCTCATTATCTTTGGTAGCAGCTGAAAACCTAAACAGGACAGTGGAGTACCAAACATGAGTATTTGTGTGAAGAGTAACTTGTATCAAGCATACAAGCAAAACCACCTGCCCATCCCCAAGCAGTGAAAGGGCTCGATATGTACTTGTTACGTGAATAATGAACTTTTGCAGAATAAACATTTTACAACACTTGATTTGTAAAATATGGTTTTGTCTTCTCTGCTTTCCTTGCCTTGGCCAATGGCAGAACAAGGTAGAGCTCCAAGGAAATGCCTCTGGGGCTCAAATTACAGTTTAGGAGGTACTCTAAGCACTTCCCTCTTTCTCCTCCTGGTGATGGCCAATCAGGGAAACAAGAGACTGCTATGCCAAATATGGGAACGGATCTTCTGTCTTCCTAGTAGATGGTCATTCATTTAAATGGTACATAAGCCCATTCTCCTAGCAAATTGCCATAAATTTATTGCAGATTATGATGCATATTTTTTATGCATTTTAATGTTTGAAATTGGGATATGTTTCATAATTAGTAACACATCATAGTTGGCAATGATTTTTCTTAGTGGTTCATAAAATAATGGTGAGTCTCCAATTGATGGTGTCTTAGATTCAGTGAAATTCAGGAAGGACAGACATAAATATACATGATAGTGATGGTGATGGGGTTAACAGAAGAGAACTTCTGGACCTACAACTAAAATGTAGTAGCGATCCTGTATCAGGACCCAAAATTATTATGGAATACCATACAACCCGTTTAAGACAACTGCATGTTAGGTGAAGTCCAGCTGCTGTGAACATTGCAGTGGGGCGAGGGCTCGCCCTGACCATGGTGTTCCTCACTACTATTACATACAGTCCAAACTGCCACAGAGAGATACCTCAGACTCCACGCTAACTCAATAAATAGAGTTCCAAATTTAAGGGCGTTTTTAAGCTCTAAAAACTACATCAGATAATTACATGGGTTGGGGAAGTGTTACCAGGCACCAACACTATTAGGCTGCAAGCACCCTTTAAAAAGAATTAGGGGCACCTGGCTGGCTCAGTTGGTAAACATGCGACTCTTGACCTCAGGGTTGTGGGTTCAAAGCCCACACTGGGTGTGGAGGTTACTTAAAAAAATCTTAGTGGTGCCTGGGTGGCTCAGTCATTAAGCATCTGCCTTCAGCTCAGGTCATGACCTCAGGGTTGGTCCTGGGATCGAGCCCCACATCGGGCTCCCTGCTCCGCCGGCGGCCTGTTTCTCCCTCTCCCACTCCCCATGCTTGTGTTCCCTCTCTCACTGTGTCTCCCTCTGTCAAATAAATAAAGTCTTTAAAAACAAAATAAGTAAATAAAATCTTAAGGGGCACCTGGGTGGCTCAGTCAGTTAAGTGGCTGCCTTCGGCTGAGGTCATGAGGGTCCTGGGATCGAGCCCTGCATCGGGCTCCCTGCTCAGCTGGGAGTCTGCTTCTCCCTCTCCCTCTCTCAAATAAATAAATAAAATCTTAAAAATAATTTTTTTTTTCTATATTAAAGAAAAGGGGCCTGAAGATCTTCATCTCTGGGATAGTTATAATTGGGGGCTACCCTGTGTCAGGAGAAGTACAAGCAAAGAAAATAGAGGGGTCATTGGGGCATGGGATAACTGACACTGCAGTTCCCAGTACGTTAACAAAAGTTACACTTTAGGACGAGTCAGTTAAGTTCACTGCATCGAGATATTTTCTGTAGGAATTTAGCTCAACTTTACATTTAAGTCATTGGAAAAATTTCTCTTTACATGTCTTTATAGGCATACATTAATTAAATAAAATGAATATCCATATGTACCTTCTATCTTTACTTACGAACCAAATGTGAGCTTAGAGAAGTTTGATAAAAAAAAACGCAAATTTAAAGAAAAAAGATTACAGCTTATAAAAACCATCCACTTATTTTCTCTCCATTCTGATCCTCTTTTGCCTTCTTTTCCATCAACATTAAAACATATTTGATGTCGCCCACCTGAAATGTACAGGAAGCAGTAGAGCTTTGAGACCTTGTACTCGATGACATTTTGGAGCTCTTCTTACCTGACGTTCATTTTAGTAGCCGAGAGAACGGCTCGCTTGGCGGAGCCCTTCCCACACAAGGTGCTCCGCCCTGCAGCGCCCAGGGGCCGGCCCGGCAAGTGGCGCTGGCTGGTGGGGGTGCAAGCCGCGCGGAGCCTTCCCCGGAGAGGAACCGGAGTCACCACCGCTCCCTTGGTGACCAGCTGCTTCTGCAGAAAGACACCGCACCATGTTCAAGCTGGGCTTCTTAGCGCCGTCTCCACAGCAGCCCCGTCCATCCCCACTTTTAATCCCACCTGTTATCTTTTCTTCTCAGTGCCTCATCCTCTTCCGACCTGCCAGGTGGGCAGGGCAGTTCCTGGCCCCTGTATCGCTATGGTGACCGAGCTAGGAGTAACTTCTGGTTGTGCGGAGTCCTGTGTTAGAGAGAGCCTTTCCCAGCTTGCCATGAACCCGGGTATTTTCGGACTAAAGAATGTGGCTTAAGGGGCGCCTGGGTGGCTCAGTTGTTAGGCACCTGCCTCTGGCTCAGGTCATGATCCCAGGGTCCTGGGATCGAGCCCCGCATCGGGCTCCCTGCTCCGCGGGGAGCCTGCTTCTCCCTCTCCCACTCCCCCTGCTTGTGTTCCCGCTCTCGCTGTGTCTCTCTCTGTCGAATAAATAAATAAAATCTTTAAAAAAAAAAAAAGAATGTGGCTTAAAAGTCCCCTGTAGCCAGAAAGGGAGGATCAATAGCTTCTCTTGGACATACAGTATCTTTGAGAACGTGATAAGCCATTTATTAAATACAAACTCAAAGAACCACCTATTATGTAATTAGCACATGGAATCTACAAATAATTCCACCCCTGCCCCTACAACCCCCCCCATGGATTCTTAAAGTTCTTTAAAAACAAAAACAACAAGAGGGAGGGAGGGAAACCCTCCCTTTGAAATGCCTGGGGATGGTCCACTTAGGTTATCATTTTTTAGATATTGTCAGCGCACCAAGAATAACAATGTCTTCCTATCACTGGTTTAAGCTCTTGCAAGCAAAAGAAACACAGCTTTGTTAAGGTACAACAGTGGTGGGATTACTGAAATGGATGAGGTAAAGCGAAAAAAGAAAAATTCTGATTATATCATAGGAAATACAAGCACTCAGAGAATTATATCAACTTCTCAACATACAAGCAGAAGAGATTCTAATGTGACACAAAGTTAAAACTTACTAAAATAGTTAGTAAATGCACATCTATACCATAAGTTGGGAGCCCAGGTTATATGTATTTAAGCACACTGTTCTATTGAATCACACTTTTTATGCTGCCTTCTATCTTTCCTCCAAGATTCCCACTTTCCATGCTGTGTCTCCTCACAGTTCACTTGGTGTCAGGACCATCAACTCTGCATCTTTGTTCTGAACTACTTACAATGCAGAAATGAGTCTACTAGCTCTTATCCATCTAACTTTTTTTCAGGTAGGATATTAAGCCGTACTAACTCGTTTTGTTAGCAATGTATGTAAACAATTCCTGTCTTTTAGCAATAAAAATCTGTTCAATCCTAACAAAGCAAAGAGCTCAATCATACCACATACAAAAAGTGGGTTAAGGATTAAATATAGGTGAAAATAACAAAAGCAGTACAAATAAATATAAGAGCTTATTTTTATGATCTTGAAACAGGCAGTGTGTGACCAAAAAAAAAACCCACAAAAAAACCACGCAGACCCTTAAAAGGAAAAGTTGGATAAAATTAAGAAAAAATCTTTCATAAAAGACACCATTAATATAGTTAAAAGATAAACTGAAGGAAAGTATTTATAATGTAGAATATATAGCATTAATATAAATGGCTAATAGATGAGTAAAAATTGAGAAAAAACAAATTCACGAAAAACCCCAGCCAATAACAACATATAAATATAAACATATAATGATCAAAGAAATGCCAACTCAATTGGGATCTTTTCATATTATATATATATATTTTTAAAGATTTTATTTATTTATTTGAGAGAGAGAGAATGAGAGATAGAAAGCACGAGAGGGAAGAGGGTCAGAGGGAGAAGCAGACTCCCCGCTGAGCAGGAAGCCTGATGTGGGACTCGATCCTGGGACTCCAGGATCATGACCTGAGCCGAAGGCAGTCGCTTAACCAACTGAGCCACCCAGGCGCCCTCATATTATATTAATAAAGATTTAAAAAATTCATCATTCCCACTGTTGGCAAGATAAACCGGCATATTGGGGCACTGTGTTTCTGATGCTTGTAGAGGACCATTTGGCAACTAAATCAAATCGGTCTCCCTGCTCCAGTGAAAGTCAAGGAGAGACAGGTCGTGGCCAAGATGATTCTAAGATCTCTGCTTATTTATTATTAACTGTCCAATGACCATTCCCAAAACATGTCAACTGTCAAGAAAAACTTCCTATTAGCTATGGTGAAGTCACTGTAATTTTTTATTTTTCAATTTCCAAATAGATCATACCAAATAACCCATCTGACAGATCTATTCCTTAGTGGGGAGTGAGGGTGATTTTAGAACTAAATTCATTCAGGTGGGGTATCGGGAAAAATAAGATAAACTACTCATTATTTAACACACCTTCAGGGCTACACTCAAGTTTATGGTTGAGGCACTTGGTTTGCCCTAATTTTTGCCTAGAAAATTAACTCACCCATATTATGTAGTATAGAAAACTTAACTTTCAATCAAGTATTTAAGTAGACTCAGTTTTATGGTAAGGAAAATGAGTGGCCCTGCTTGCAGGCATATTTGCCCCTAGCTCATTTTCATGCAAAAAAAAAAAAAAAAGAAAGAAAAAGACAAAAAGAAACTAGAGGTCTACTTCCGGTAAATCATCAGCACGGGCCTCCTGTGCAGGTATTCAGCTGTCAGTGCAGTGATGCCTAGCCCTTGCTCGTATCTAAGCAAGCATGATTATGGGCATGCTGAGCACGTCTTCTCTGATCCTCCACCCGCGCTGGCAGACCAGTCTGCAGCCTTCAAATGCCACGGCTTGGCTTTGTCGCTGTCAGCTGGGTGATAAACGGTGTCTTCAATGAGGTTAGCAGTCAGTCGTTTTATAAAGAGTTCAAGTGAATGTTACCACTCTAGATTCAGCTTCTTGCTACGAAGCTTATGGTGTATGTTTTTTACAAACAATATGTAGAACTTGTCACCTAGTGTGTTTCTGTGTCGGCATTTGTACCAGAAAATGTGGAACTCGACTGACACAGCAGATGCCGTCCCTGCTAACAGTGCTCATATTCTGCCCCTTTCAAACCAACCTTATACTGTTTTGTGTTATAATACCAAAGACTGCCCCCAAGGCTTTTTGAGAAATAAGCACATGGCATGTATTATGAAATTCTAAAATAAATATTCCCCAGTCCTCTATGTGATACCTCTTGAACACCAGAGACCAAGTAAGGTAATAACAGGATGTTGTCAACTCACTGCTCTAATTCAGCCTTGGGGTTGATTTCCTCCCCTTTTCTTATTCGAAGGGACCTTGAGTCTGGCAGGACCTGGACTGAAGGGCCCCCAGGAGCTCAGGTAGCAGGAAGCCCCTAAGTTGGTCAGTGCAACTCGTTCCTTTTTCCTTTAGGTGAGAGGGAAAGAAAATGGCTTCACCCATAAATCAGTCTAGCCTCAACAAAAGTAATAAGCACAATGTGTGAAGGCTGAGAATAGAACAACTTACTGGCATTTTGGAATTAGTTCTTTATACTGAGGACTCCCAGTTTTATTCTGAGGGTTCTGAAAATTCTTACGGTGGGGGAAGCAATTTCAGATAATAAAGATACATTAAACTCAAATCCATTCCACTGGTAGAATAAAAAGCTGGCTGTATTAGCTAAGGTATTGACATTAAAATCAAATAGTTCGGGGCACCACGGTGGCTTAGTTGGTTAAGCATCTGCCTTTGGCTCAGGTCATGATCCCGGGGTCCTAGGATCGAGCCCTGCATCAGGCTCCCTGCTCAGCAGGGAGCCTACTTCCCCCTTTACTGCTCCCCCTGCTAGTGCCATTTCATTTTCTCTCTCAAATAAATAAATTTTTTTTTAAGATTTTATTTATTTATTTGACAGAGAGAGACAAAGCGAGAGAGGGAAAACAAGCAGGGGGAGTGGGAGAGGGAGAAGCAGGCCTCCCGCCGAGCAGGGAGCCCGATGCGGGGCTCGATCCCAGGACCCCGGGATCGTGACCTGAGCCGAAGGCAGACACTTAACGACTGGGCCACCCAGGCGCCCCTCAAATAAATAAAATCTTAAAAAACAAAACAAAACAAACCATAAAATCAAATAGTTCAGTCCCAGTAAGAACATAATTTTAGGGGCACCTGGGTGGCACAGCTGAGCATCTGACCCTTGGTTTTGGCTTAAGTTGTGATCTCCGCGTCTTGAGATCAGGCCCCGAGTTGGACCCCACGCCCAGCTCAGAGTCTGCTTGGGATTCTTTTTCCCTCTCCCTCTGCCCCTCCTGCTCGTGCTTGCTCTCTCTCTAATAAACAAATCTTTAAAAAAAAAACAAACAAAAAAACCCAAAACACATAATTTTATCAGCATACCTTCAGTTCATTAAATGAATTGTGTTCTTCAAAATGTTTCTTTTTTCTCTCAATATATTGATCAATGGACTCCATTTCCTTAAAGCGAGCCTCATGAAGCTTCTTAAAGTCTGGAATGTTCCCCAAAATATGACAATAAATAGCAAGACAAATCCATTTATTCACCTTCCCTTTGTCCTTCTGTTAACACTTATTCTCCTCTCTGCATCCCTGACATTCAGGGATCAAACATCATCTTTGCTAAAACTTCAATTTCATATCTTTCAGTTTTTGGAAACTCAGGGACAAAGTATATTCATCTTACCAACTATCAAACATTTACCATCTCTCCTCTGTCCATTTCACTGCTAACTGTGGTTTAGTCCACAGAATAAGAAAAGAATAACAGATTTGTCCTCTCCCCTCACCAATTAATCAAATGGCCTTTACTTAATCATAAATTTGACATTTTATAATGCTTAGAAAGCTTTATACCAAGGATTGGCAAACTTTCCTGTTAAGGGTCAGACAGTAAATATTTTATTTCATCTTTGTGGCCACATATGGTATGATCTCTTTTTTTTACACAATCCTTTAAAACTGTAAAAACCATTCTTAGCTTAAGGGTTTTAAGACAGGCCAGGGTTGGCAGGAGTTTGCTGATCCCTGCTCTGTGCTATTCTGATTAAGAATATTCTTGGGGGGCCTAGCTGGTCAGTCAGAGGAGTGTGTGACTCTTGATCTTGGGTTTGTGGGTTCAAGCCCATGTTGGGTGTAGAGATTACTTTAAAAAAATAATTGAGTCCTTTTTGCCTGTGGACGCTGCTGAGTAAGCATCGTTAAAGTCTCCCCTCCCACCGCCATCATGTCTAAGTCAGAGTCTCCCAAAGAGCCTGAACAGGTGCGGAAGCTCTTCATCGGAGGTTTGAGATTTGAAACAACCGATGAGAGTCTGAGGAGCCATTCTGAGCAATGGGGAACGCTTACGGACTGTGTGGTGATGACAGATCCAAGCGCTCCAGAGGCTTTGGGTTTGTCACGTATGCCACTGTGGAGGAGGTGGATGCAGCCATGAACGCAAGGCCACACAAGGTGGATGGTAGAGTTGTGGAACCAAAGAAGGCTGTCTCAAGAGAAGATTCTCAAAGACCTGGTGCCCACTTAACTGTGAAAAAGATATTTGTTGATGGCATTAAAGAAGACACTGAAGAACATCATCTACGGGATTATTTTGAACAGTATGGGAAAATTGAAGTGATCGAGATCATGACTGACCGAGGCAGTGGCAAAAAGAGAGGTTTTGCTTTTGTAGCATTTGATGACGACTCTGTAGACAAGACTGTCATTCAAAAATACCATACTGTGAATGGCCACAACTGTGAAGTAAGGAGAGCCCTGTCTAAGCAAGAGATGGCTAGTGCTTCATCCAGCCAAAGAGGTCGAAGTGGTTCTGGAAACTTTGGTGGTGGTCGTGGAGGTGGTTTTGGGGGGAATGACAACTTTGGTCACGGGGGACACTTCAGCGGTCCAGGTGGCTTTGGTGGCGGTCGAGGTGGTGGTGGATATGGTGGCAGTGGGGATGGCCATAACAAATTTGGTAATGATGGAAGCAACTTTGGAGGTGGCGGAAGTTATGATGATTCTGGCAATTACAACAATCAATCCTCAAATTTTGGACCCATGAAAGGAGGAAATTTTGGAGGCAGAAGCTCTGGCCCCCAATGGTGGTGGAGGCCAATACTTTGCCAAACCACAAAACCAAGGTGGCTATGGTGGTTCCAGCAGCAGCAGTAGCCATGACAGTGGCAGGAGGTTCTAATCACTGCCAGGAAACAAAGCTTAGCAGGAGAGGAGAGCCAGAGAAGCGACAGGGAAGCTACAGGTTACAACAGATTTGTGAACTCAGCCAAGCACAGTGGTGGCAGGGCCTACCTGCTGCAAAGAAGACATGTTTTA